ACATGTACCCTGGTTCATAATCGTCATGTGCGGAGTCACAACCCAGGCCCCGTTCAGCGCAGCTGCTACAGCATGCAGGTCGCATAGGTTCGCGAGATCTCGCAGAATCAAGACCTTGGCGGTGTGAAGCTCTTGCGTCACGTCCCAGCCACGTCGCTCGATGGCATCATCCAGCAGAACACTGCGCAGCTCGTCTGGCACCCACACCGACAAGCCTTCCAAGGACGCCTCGGACGGGCAGATGCGTGCAACAGCCCGGGAGCGTGCAGACTCGGCGCGCTCCCGAGCTTGCATGTTCTTTTCGATCTTGTCGAAGTGTGCAATGGCCATCTCCAGAAGACTCTCCGGCAGCTCGGAAACCCGCACTGTGTTGCTCCGCAAGGCATCGAACAGCCTGCTAAGGCCCTTCTCCTTGTTGAAGGCCACCTCCTTGTCATGCTTGCTTGTCCATGCGTTGGCCGGGTCAGCTGGCACAATGCTGTCTTCTGGAGCCTGCTCTGCATCTTTGTCAGCTCGCCGGCGCTTCCGAAATTCTGTCTCTGTGGGCTTCTCTTCGACATCCTCCGCGCGGCAAAGCTTTTTGAGTGGGCGAGCCACGCCACGATCGAATCTCGGTCGCTGACGTTTCCGGCTGGAAGCATAAAGCTCTGACCAAAGCATTCGGGCCTGCTGAATCACCTCTCTGTCGTGCTCGGGGTCTGCCACAGCCAGCAGCACCGTGTCGCTCTCCACCCCTGGGCCAGCGTGCAGCTGTTGGTCGCTGAGGATGCGCTTCACCCTAGAGAAATCGCGCTCTATGATCGAGTCAGAACTTGTCATGGCAGCATATTCCGCAAGCACCACTTCAAGCTGGCATGCCGGGTGCCGCGACCGTGCAGACGTCGAAGATGTGACCTGTAGCGCATGCTGCCAAGCCTCCAAATTGCCACAGCCGGTGTCCTTGAAGCGCTGGGCTGCGACCGCGCCATGGTCGCAGAACTGCGCACAAAGCATGACAGGGTCCACGTGGAATGTGCTTGCCAAGCGCTCCAGCGGCTGGGTCAAAGCTGCAGGAAAGGAACCGTTCCCAACGGTTTGCAGCAGAGTGCCTAACTCCCGGAGGTCAAAACACGAAAAGCTGGAGACAACCTCGAAGTGCGGGTGCTCGGCCGCGACCACCTCGCGGGCGAGAGCTGTCCACGCCAGCATTCTCTCTAGAACCACCGTCTTCATGCGCCGGGTAACAGCACGGGGCCCTCCGACGGACCTCAGCACAGAGCCCCTGACGAGGAAATGATGCGTGTCCTCGAGGAATTTCAATGTCTGCTTCGTGTAACCCTCAGTTGTCCACACCAGCTGCTCTTCGAAGAGCTGCGTGATTCGCTTGCAAAACCGCTGGACCTCCTGCGCGATCTTCGCGTTGTCCACTTCAGCAGCGTCGAAAAAACGTATGAGCACAATGCACTCATCGCAGGCGTCCGCAAGAAGCGCACACTGCAGCATCATCTCCTCATCGAGCGCCTCTAGGGTTGCAGAAGCGTAAACGCCCGCAGGTTCTGCTGGGCGTTCCTGCAGCAGTCGCACCAGCAGCCCTATGCAGGCTTCCCAATCCAGACAAAGGCGCGACAAAGGAGAACCCAAGCTCTCGAATCGATGCTTGGCGGCCCGCATGTGGCCGAAGGTCGTGCGCACTGCGCTCTGGGAGGACTTTCGTGAGCATTCCTGGTCTCTCTATGAAATTCCTACCAATGTGTTTTCTCTCGTTGCCTACAGGGGCTAAAAATCCTCTGGGGTGATCATCAAGTATGTA